TCCTACGTACCTTCCACTTCAATTTAGGTATTTTTTTTTTTCGGAAATTTGGTTAAATTATGCTCAAACTCCATTTCTTCCATAGACAATCGGTTTATATTATCCTGTAGTGACAACGATGTTTCATTTAAAGATTGATACCATAAAAAATCCTAAAGCTTTTGCGTGCTTTCGAAACTCAGGAGAGTTCCAAGTAAAATTAGGTGATTTGAGATTTTTTGTGATACAAAAATTAAGTGGAATAAATGTGAGACTAATGTATCAGTTAGATATTTTTTATGATATAAAAATTGGTTTTGGATAAATGTGAATTGGGTATGATGATTTGAGATTTTTTTTTTGAGATGCGAAAATTAGATTGTAAATGTGGCATGAGTGTACCGATTTTTAATTGTTGGTATTAGCCCTAACTTTAATTATAGAGAACATAATGTAATAAAGGAGTCCATATCATCGTGGCACATTTTTTTTAATGCACTCGAACATGTTCCTCTCTTCTGGCCGAAAAGACAGAACATGTTCCTCTCTAATTGGTAATGTGCAAATCATCCATTATTGCTGAATACTTTGATTTGGCATTTTTCTAATTTTCACAATTTAAAATCATACACGTATTGAATCAATTCAAAAAGAATAATGCCTTCTTGGACGTTTTAAAGAGTATTTGCTGTTGACTAACTCGTGAAATCTTGAATGTTTCATTAAACTAGAATCATGCATAGATGTTTCCATCTTATAATTCGTCTTATTCACATGTGATCGTCAATGTGCTATTTCTTGTGAGCATATACATTATTGTGGCAAAAAAGCTAGAGATTTATTACAACTCAAAAAATATCTTCCATGCGATATAATAATGTTTATTTCTATGTGATCGTGCAGTAATCTCAAGTTATTTAGGAAAAGTTTTAAAAGGTTGAATTTTTTTTTTGGACGTATAAAAGGTTGAATTATATTGTATAGAATTCTGCATCTATTTGATTGGATTACGGAAATTTTTATTTGATTCAAGTTTCAGTAAACACAAAAAAACCAAATCACGATTAGGCGTTGTCGCGACCGAACTCCCGAACCCTTTTTAAACAACACGAAAAAAAGGGAGCTCGCCTCGGTACGTGCTAAGTCTAGGTTCGGACTTAACGGGCTCTCCCAAGCCCATACCATATCGCGACTTAGGCTTTAAGTTTTTAATATGCAAGTGGTTTATATCAAGGAGTCGCCACTAATCGATTTGGGGTGGGTCGATTAGAAACCCAAATAGGGTGATGGGAGAATCACCCTATTCCCGCGAACCGTAGATTAACCGACCGGGACTTGGTTACACTAGTTGGATAACTAATGCCCTTTCGGTACCTTTTTACCCCGTTCATTTTTTGAAAACATTTGTCGTGCAATTTAAATTGATTTTAGGACCTTTCTCCTAACATGAGGTGATCAAGCGAGTGCATAATCGAAACGATTAGCAAAAGAACACAACAACGCATGCTCAAGGTTCTAACCTTAACTAAGTCGATGACATTCAAAAACACAACAGCTCATGGAATTGTATTAAAAACATGCATAACAGTAATAAAATTAACATGCAAAATACTACCGCACAACCTCAGAATTGTCTAATTTAAACAAGACAAAAACATGCATAATAATACAACAATAAATTAAACATTTAGAATATATCACACAAATTTAAAAAAAAAAATTTGAAATTTTTTTTTTAAAAAATAAATAAATAAATACGAAAAAAAAAATTAATTAATTTTTTTATAATTTTTTTTTTAAAAATTAAAAATACAATAAAATAATATGACGACGAGGCCGCTGGGACCTCGCAAGACCCTCCGAGACTCCTCTCTCTCTTCTCGTCTCTCTCGATTCTCTCCCGCCTCTCTGACTCTCTCTCCGTTTTTCTCCAAAATGGCCGACCCCGCTCTCTTCTCTCTCTCTCCGGCTATTTATAGCCGGCGACGATTTAACTCAGTGCCTCCCCGTCGGCTGTGACGATGGCCCGCACCGCCTACCCGCTCCGGCTGACTTTCGCGGCCATACAGCGTGCGCAGAGCAGCAAAGGGGGCCGAGAGGAACAGGAGCCGAGAGGAGGAAGCGGATCGTGGAGAAGGGAATGGGAGGATCGGATCGGCCATTAATGCCACCCCGTCTGCAAGATGCTCTCTCGGCCTTCCTCTCGGCTGATAGCGACGCCGAGAGCGCCGCCGTGCGTTGGCGTGATGTCTCGAGCGGGGAGAACAGGGGCGAGAGAGCGACCGGCGAAGGGGAAGAAGAAAGGAAGGGCTGGGCCGGGCCAGGCCCAGCTGCGGGGGAAAAGAAGAAAAGAAAAGGAAAACGGGCCGGGCCCGGAAAAAAAGGAAAAAGAAATGGGCGGGTCGGCCCTGGCTCCGACCCGCCCGACTCGAATTTTTTTTTTTTTTAATTAAACTCTATAATAGACTCTATTAGTGCAAATGTACCTAATTTCTATATGCAATGCATTTAAATTGAAATATTTTTGTTTTAGGAATTAAAGAAAATTAATTCCTAAATTTTGTGTAATTAATTTTTGGGGATATTAAAAATAGGTGTCAACAGGCGTGTTATCACAGGATCACGTACCTGACCGATAATCAGATTTATTCTATTCTCCTACGCTTCGTTTGTGTTTGCGGAAAATGATTAATCTTAAGAAAATATTTTCCAAATCTTTCATTTTTCAAATTATTTATTTTTCACAAAATAAACGGAGTCTAAACCTATCATAAGCAATAAAATTTTTGGCGGTCAAAAAAATTGAGTTCGGAAAAAAATAGTAAAAAAAAATAGTTCGAAGTAAAATTGTCACAAATATACCAGTTTTGGATTTTTTGTGATAAAAAAATAATTTGGGGTAAATTTATCACATGTGTACCAGTTTGGGATTTTTCATGGTATTAACCCTTAAGAATAATAGTTTTTCCTTGATGATGTTAATTAATTAATTAATTAATACATCGTGGTGAGGAAAGGACCAAAAGAATAAGTGGGGGCGACGTGTGAACGGTGCAACTCCTACGTGCCTTCCACTTCGATTTATTTTTATTTTTTTGGGGCAGAAATTTGGTTTTTTTTTTTGTCATAGGGCAGAAATTTGGTTAAATTATGCTCAAACTCCATTTTCTGTAGAATCGATTTATAATATCTCGCAGAGACAACGATGTTTAATTTAAGGGTTTTTTTTGTCAAAAGAAAATTGTATTCATTGCAAAGAAAATCGAAATAGAGCAAATCTTAGAATACAACAAAACAAAGTCAAATCCAAAAAATAGGATCAACAGAGCACCAGTAATGTTAAACACATACTCATTTCATAAAAACAGATCTGTCAAGCAAAATAATCGGCGGCTGATCACAAATATACCAGTTTGAGATTTTTAGTTTTCGGTAAATTAATCACAGGTGTACCAGTTTTGGATTTTTAGTGGTAAAAAAATTAGTTTATGGTAAAATTGCTAGGTGTACCAGTTTGGAGTTTTTCGCGACATTAAACCTTTCTTTTTTGTAGACAATCAATTTATATTATCTCGTAGAGCCAACGATGTTTAATTTAGAGTTAATACCACAAAAAATCCTAAACTTTTATATATGGCGTGTCACATTTAGCCCAAATTATTTTTCAAGTTAAAAAATTAGGGATTTTAGCGTGCTTTTGAAACTTGGGAGAGTTCCTGGCAAAATTAGCTAATTTCCCAATTTTAAGATTTTGGTGATTTTCGATTTTTTTTTATGACACAAAAATTAGGTGGGATAAATGTGACACTAATGAATCAGTTTGAGATTTTCTATGACATGAAAATTGGTTTTGGATAAATGCTAAATAAGGTGTACAGATTTGAGAATTTTTTTTTTGCGACACGAAAATTAGGTTGAATAGATGTGGTACGAGTGTACTGATTTGGGAATTTTGGTGGTATTAGACCTAACTTTAATTATAGAGAACATAATGTAAATAGAGAGTCCATATGATCATGGCACATTTTTTTAATGCACTCGAACATGTTCCTCTGTTCTGGCCGAATAGACAGAGCGTGTTCCTCTCTAACTGGTAATGTGCAAATCATCCATTATTGCTGAATACTTTGATTTGGCATTTTTCTAATTTTCACAATTTGAAATCATATATAGTATTTAATCGATTCAAGCAGAAAAATGTCTTCTTGGACTTTTTAAAGATTATTTGCTATTGACTAGCTTGCTTGCGAAATCTCGAATGTTCCATTAAACTAGAATCATGCGTAGATGTTTCCGTCTTATAATTTGTCTTATTCACATGGGATCATCTATGTACTACTTCTTGTGAGCAAATATAAATACATTATTGTGGCAAAAAAGCTAGAGATTTATTATAAGTCTGAATATATTTTCCATGCTCTATAATAATGTTTATTTCCATGTCATCGTGCAATAATCTCAAGTTATTTAGGAAAAGTTTTAAATGTTTGAATTGAATTGTATAGAATTTTGCATCTATTTGACTAGATTAGGGAGATTTTTATTGCATTCAGGTATCGGCAGACACAAATACACCAAATCCTGATTAGGCGTGTTATTGCAGGATCACGCACCTGACCGATAATCGGATTTATTCTATTCTCCTAAGCTTCATTTGTGTATGCGGAAAATGATTAATCTTAAGAAAATATTTTTCATATCTTTCATTTTCCAGATTATTTATTTTCCGCAAAATAAACGGAATTTAAACCTATCATGAGTAATAAATGTTTAAATATAAGTAAATCTGGGATTAATTATTGATAATAAACCACCGATTAGATGGTAGTGAACAAAAAATTGGTTTGGTTTGATTTGGTCTGGATTGGAATAAATTGATCATGCCAACTCTAATCAATCTAAGTTTTATTTTATTTTATTATTTTTTAAATCCAATTAATTTCATTCAATTTTAAGCGCACACGGAACCGAGTTGACCCGAACTTACGAAAGCAACCGGTCGAGTCGGTCGACCCAGGACGGTCAAAGAGCCGCAGCAGCCAAAGCTTCTTCCCTCGTTTTCGCCTCCCGCCGCCCCCGTCCGTTCGCGCCGCCCCCGTTGGAAGCGAAGTAGAAGTCCGAGGAGACCCTCCGGCTCCTCGGCGGCGATCCCGCCGCGTTCCGGCCGAGGAGGGAGATCATGCGGCGGCCGTCGACCGCTCCGCGAGTCTCCGAGGCTCCTTCGCAGCCTCCGCTGACGACGGCGGCGGCGGCGGCTGCTTCGCAGTCGCGTTGCTCGAGGAGGACGGGGGAGCGAGACGACGACCGGCGGGAGCAGCTGCCGACGTGCGATCCGCTGTCGCACGCGGCAAGGAAGGAGCGGTCGCGCCTCAGGTCGGCGGAGAACGCCGTCCACGCGATCCCTCTGTTGCTGGCTCTGTGCGCGTTCCTCCTCTGGTTCTTCTCCAGTCCAGGTATTTGCTCTAGCGTGATCGAGTCTCGCAAAGTCATCGATCGCTCGCTCTCTCTCTCTCTGGCTCTCTGACCTTATACGTACCCTGCTGAAGTCGTGATCGAATGCTTTGGTCGATTGAATTTGCAGTTTTGAATCAAATGTGTGATCGATCATCTTGAATTCTCGATCGGCCTTGTGATGATTGATTGGTCGCTCTGGTACTCTCTGTATTTTTTTCAATCAATCCGATCGTAAGTTGAAGCTCGATCGATTGATTCTTTGAGGATGAACACCCGAGGCTCGTTCACTTTGAATCTGGACTTGAGCTCGGCGAAACAGTGAAGCAAACCGGTATCATCAGACGCAGATTCCTCCGATTTGAACGCTTCTTGAACCAAAATGAAGTGCTTGTGCTTGTGTGCAATCGCCCCGAGTATTGAAAAATCCTGCATTTTCTTCGATTCTGCGTCTTTCGAAATCGCCCGAATTCCGATTCCGTCTCTGATAGCTTCTCAACTGATGCAGGATCGGAGCTCTAAGAATCACCGGAAAGCGCGTGTCCTTCGGATCTTCGCCCTGAGTTCTTCTGTATTCATCTTTGTTTCTTGCTGAGGGATGAAGTTTTCGCTTTCTGATTCTTTTGGCCAATGTCGATACGCGAAAAATTTCCGTTACTTATTATGGACTAACAATGTAATGCCCATCTCTGATCACAAGGAATAAAGAGCTGTTCTTCGTTTCTGAGTGCGACCAGTGTATGCTTACTGCATCTTCCTCATGACCCTCATGTTGGAAGTTTCCGATTTTCTGATCTTGCTCGCTGCAAATACCAAACCGGCCGAAATCAGGCAACAAGGAAAGCCCGGGAAGGCCGTCGATTCGAATGATCGAGCAAAGACCAGACAATTAAAACAGAGCACAACGCAGGAAAATTGCAAATTCTGATCAAAATAAGCAGGAACTGAAACAAATGGAGAGGGTAGAGATAACATCTCCTTCTACTATCATCAGCAACTTGGTCGCACACGGCGAGTTCGGCCACTGGCAACTAGTGCGGTTCAAGATCACCCCAGAAAACTTTCGGGAAGCTTAACCAAGATGCAATGAAATTGTCGATAGCCGATCCGAGATCTTGAGGTTCTATATCTCTGGCTCTGCGCCTATGCTGGCCGTGCTATGGATGGGGCAATACAGTGTGGATGACTTTATTTCTTCGGGACCGAAGACTCAATACTTGCATCGAGCACCGGCATGCCACGAGAACTCGGGTACCGAGTAGATGGTCGGAGCAATAGCTGAACGACCTTATGACCGTCCACTGTGGTATGGACTAAGCATGATCACTAAGTAGATATAAACTCATCAGATAACAGGAAGCAAAGCATTGACGTATGAGCTTGAATCGTTCAGCTTTCATTTCCTTTACACTAACCAAAAAATCTACCTATGGCACACATCATCTTACACTTATTACAGACAGAATTGCTATGAAGCTGACTAATGCGAGTCGCATCCAAAGTTAGTCAGACCTCTAAAAGCACAATGCTTCGTATTTGCAGCGACCGATCGGCAATCGGTATTTTCTCAGCTTCGCGTCGAGCTTTGCCTATAGACTTCCCCAGTCTCATGTACCGTCGTGCAGCCATATCGGCATTCATTTTTTGTTGGTTAGGAGAGGCTGAGTTGCTGGATCTGACAAAGACGACATAGCAGATGAGTACATAGCCGTGGACTGTAAATCAAGATCATAAATAAGGAGAGAAAAGGAAAAGTACACATTACCTCCACGACCTTGCTGTGCATCGGACGATGGGATTCGTTTGGCCGCTTTCTCTGAAATCTCATCAACGACCAACCTTGACAAAAGCAATCCAGCGATAAGAGCACCGGCCATTAGCATCAAGAAAACCGCGTCCCACCCTTTTGTCGAAAGGAACCCAGTAAGAAGAGGGCCAAGAGCCGCTCCGACAGATCCGGTTCCATCAATAATGGCAGTTACGGTGGCAAGTGCCCTCGAATCCCCTCTGAGAGAACTGTGCGTGCCAAGGTCTGCCGAAACCGCTGTGGTGATCAGCGCGTATGGCCCGTTTATGAACAATCCCGTTATCATCATGAGGACGATGTTGACATTGCGTGATATGCCCCCATATGAGCGGTATGCCAGCATAGATGGTATCGCAGCATACATGAAACTGGCTGCCGTGATTGCCCGGGCGTGGAGCTTGTCCGATATATAACCAGCGAGAATTCCACCAACAATTCCACCCACGTCAAAAAGGGTTGACAGGTTTCCAGCTGATTTCACAGAGACATACTCACCGCCGATTTCTGCCAAGTTTGAGAAACAAAGTGAGTCAGAAACCATAAATGTTGGATCTTAATAAATAAAAAAAACTAAGTCCCTACCATGCTTTTGGACAGGCCAGGGGAAAACCATGACCTATTCTAGACGACAATAAGTATCATAAGGCAAGTATGTCATCAACTAGTCTTTGTCCTCGAAATTAGAACGATTTCTTTGCCAGCGAATAACTGGTCAATAATAATTTCACGACTATGATACTCATGTAAAGCTAACATTGAAACAGCACAACAAAAAAGACATCACTCATTAGCCATTTCTCAATGTTTGCTTCCACAGACATTCCAAATTTTCGAGAAACTTCAAAAAGCAAGAAAAATCTGATTTGAATATAAGATGACAGCCATAGAACCTGAAGAAGATTCAATACAGAAACATGTTTTTCCTAACACAACTCTCTCTTTCAGGACAAGTAATTGAAGGGAGCAGGAGCAAAGAAGATATATACCTGTTTGACTTAAATAAAATGGTAACCAATAGAGAAATGTATAAGCCACCAGCTTCGAGAAGAATAAGGACAGCGCGAAAGGAATCACTCCCGGGATCAAACAGGCTTGAACAAGCCCAACACTTCTCTTAGTCCCAGAACCAACCGAGGAACTTCGCGATTGGGATTCTACGTCATTGGGAGGAACCGTCTCTACAGCACTGGATGGATCATCCAAAAAAGGAAATCCAACATCCTCTGGATACGCAGCCAAGAACAGGAAAACCAGTATCCCTCCAAGAAAGATCAAGCCACCAGGAACAATGAAGGACCAGCCCCACCCGTAATCCAAGACACTCGCCGCGAGAAGGGAACCGCTAATATTCCCCACCGAAGTATGTGCATTCCACACGCCCATTATCAAACCCCTTTTCCTCTTCCCGAACCAATTGCCGATAACAGCCACCACCGACGGCCACCCGGTTGCTTGGAACAACCCTGCAACCATTTGCATGGCCAAATAAAATCCGAAAACATGCACATTCCAAATATATCCCATCCCAAAGAGCCCCACAAAAATGCCACTGCCAATCATTCCGGTCGTCAAGAACAACCGCAAGTCCAACGTATCGCCCAAATGCCCCGCGACGTACATCCCCATAGAATAACAGGCCAAAAACGCGACGTCAATTTCGCCCAATTTCGACGTCCCATCGGGGCCGTTGAAGGGAGCCCAGCCCCTGTACTTGGATCTACCACCAGTCACATTACCACCGTTCCCTAACTCTTCCCTCACAAAGACTTCGCCCAATGGCCACGAGCGCTGCACATTGACGGTCGTGGTGTCGGGATACAGGACGCTCTTCACAATGCTACTAGGCTTCCGAGAAGCATGATAACAAGCATACGCAATGAAGGTGACGAGCAAGACCACGTATCTATAAGTCTGGAGGCTCCAGTTCCTGCCCCTGATTCTCCTTATGAGCAAAATCCCAGGTGGGTTTCCTCTCGTGGCATCAAAACCGTGAGACATTTCTTTCAAACCGATCCAAAAGTTCGAAACTCCAATCCCCTTTGGAAAAAAAAAAACTGTGCACGGAAAAAGCCCGGTCGAGGTTCTTTCAATCACCCCTGCAGATGCAAATTTGAACGAAACGATCGTCAAGGATATTCGCACCCCGCATCCATATTCCCAGGGACCAAGAAACGCAAGAACCAAACAACACGAACGGAAACGATCCAAAGGGGCGAGAAGACGAGAGTTCGGAGGAGTGATGTCGTTACCCGATTCACGAGACGTCGAGCAGATTTAGCAACGGATCGTCGGCGCAGGAGAGAACCATGATTGGGTTGATGCGACGAACGCTCTTTGTCGAGAGGTGGGGGGAAGGGGAGAGAGAGAGAGCGGTATGAAAGGGAGCCCGAGGTTGGCGGGGCTTCTTGTGTGGGAGACGAAGGTTGCAGAGAGAAAGAGGGAGGGCGGACACGTGGCAACCTCGGTGGGAGAAGGGAATTGCTTGAGTGCCACGCAGGACCCGACGATCTTCGTGTCGTGCGTGCTCCCGGTCGGCCGTTGGGGAGACACGGGCCGGGCCGGGCCGAAGTTGGGCTTGCGCCGGGATTTGGGCCTATTGATCCGGGCCGGGCCCACCGAGTGCGATGGCCCGGACCGCCGGTCCGGTTCAGATCGGCGCTAGGGAGAGAGCCCCGGTCCGAGCGGGTCCGCGTGGATTAAGAAGAAAGAGACAACATTAGCCTCGCGAATGCTTTGCTTAAGAGAGGTATTTAACTCCCTTAAAAATGCTTCTCTTTGGGGGTATTGGTAGCGTGTGGGCAACTGTAATGATGATTAAAAATTTAATTTAATGATTCGGTGCCGGATTAGTGGTGCTTTCCCCGGTTGCTAATCTATCGGTTGTATTATTACCGGGCAAGATGCCAAGTAATACAACTAGCCGTGTACAAATTCCCGGTTTAGTGAGATTGCGAGCGGCCGTTTCCATGACAGTCTTGCCGTCCTAATAAACTAATTGCGTACAAATTGATTTGGGTTGACACGTGTAGATGTGGTTTGAAAGCAAAGAACGTTTTTTTTTAGTGAGATAATGACATAAACAGTCATTGGAATATGGCTCAATGTGTAATATAATCCATGAATTTTTAATTTATTTAATGTAGTCTCTGAATTTTAGCCTAATATTTAATGTAATTTCTGAACTTTTAATTTGCTCAATGTGGTCTTTTGACTTTTGGTACATATTCAATGTAGTCCCTAAATTATATGAAAATGTTCAATAAAATCCATGAGCTTAGATTAATGGAATGACAACATCGAACATTTTCATATAGGAATTAAATTGAATATGTACCAAAAGTTCAAGGACGATATTGAACAAATTAAAAGTTCATGGATCACATTGCATATTGCATTAAAGTTCAAGGACCACATTGAACAAATTAAAAGTTCCGCACATTGAGGCAAAATTCATGAATTATTTGTGTCGTTTTCCCTTTTTTTAGTAAGACCGCCATGATACAATTTGTTTTAGCGAACTTAGAAAAACCAATTCGCATTTTTAGCTTAATTACGCAATTAAGCTATCACCATCACATACGTGCCCGTGCACACGACATATACGAGGAATCATCATCCTCTTTCTTGAAGGGATTCCGATTTGCGTCTAAGCAACCTCCTAAAGATTGGTCAGCTTCGGCAATCATTCCATAGCTCTCTTCGAATTTCTTCTATACCCACCGTCCGAACTTGGCTTTCCCAAGAATCAAAAGGGCTGACACGCTCGTTCTTGATTTTTTACCAACCCTTTGGGGGGTTCGATCACGTAAGCAAGCCGTTGCCACTTCCCATCCTTTCGATGTTGTAGTCGCAACGATTCTTGATCTGCGCATGTCTCGTGCGAACTCTTGCCGTGTTTAACTTAAACTTTACTTGAGTTCTTGCATGCGTAATGGGTAGTGCTTATCTTATTCATTTGGACCTATAAGATTCAGATACGGCAATCGGACAACGAGGCAACAAAGTCTTTCTCTCTGTCTGTCTGGGACGGAGGTTTCGGAGTTTATGGTTTCTTTTCTCTGTCCACGGCGGTGAATGATGTGGGGTTGATCAATCGTTAGGGGGGTTCGCGGGGTTGCTGAAGAAAAAGGGGTGTGATCTCTCCGGCATCAGTGGGGGGCACCAGAATGGCCGACACCGGTCGTCCTCTGATCTCTGTTCATCCCGATGAGCTCAAATTCACTTGTACCTCTCTCTTTCTCTCTCTCTCTCTGTGTCCGCGTTATTAGTTTCATTTCTAATTTAGCAGATTTCAGGTAGATGGCATGTGGGTGAATTCATCTTCTCCTGGGTTTGCTCGATTTAGAGAATAGAGTGGCACAGAAGTTACGAAAGGAAACAGTGTAAAGATGAAAAGGGTCATCAAGTTTTCTGTGTTCTGCTATTAAAATTCCGTGTAAACCAGCTAAAGTATAAATTTTGTTCAGAGAAAGTCCTTCGCAGTCACGTCTGGATCCTCTCACCCTACTCCTAGGACAATCTTGGACTGATGAAAAAAGGGTCTCATCAGGCCTGTACTCTTCTTTCAGGCCAGAAATGTATGCGAAATCAGCTTCTGTATGCAAAAGCTGGTGGGATTTGACATGGTCGAATCAGTGAGAAGATCTTTTCAAGCCTTTTTTTAGGCCTGACCTCCTTTGAGGAGATTAGAAGATGACAATGTGTAGAAACTTGAGAAAAGGCTGCGTGGATGATTAGGATGTATGAATCTCATGAATTATCTATGCGAAAATCAGTCCCATGAGATTGTAATGTGTTCTGGCTACTGCGGCAAGGGTCTGGGGTGTTAAAGAATGTAGACATTAATATTGACGTCAGGGCTGTGTGTGAAAAGGATATGGGGGAGGGGGAAGTATTTATCTGATGCTAGCTCGTGCTTATTTCTAATTTACTTCAACTGTTGGCAGACAGTTTTGAGAATCTCAGTAGAGAGTTGGCTTATTAATTTGGAAAAAAATATGTATCAAAAGGTAAATTGTTTCTTGTGAAGGAATAAAAATGAACGCACAAAGGAGCAGTTGCCAGGTGGATTGTGCTCCCGGTATTTGCTATTCAGTAGAATTATAGGATTCTCCAAACTGTAAGTTTCAAATCTTTAAAATCTTTGGAGGGTGGTGATCTGTGAACAGTTAATGATCATTTTATCAGCGACAAACGAGAGTAAATCCAATTCAGTTGCAGTTAGCCCGATGGGTTTTTTGGTGCTTTTTGAAACATCCTAAATTTAACCCTGACTACTAAAAACAGAGCAGCGTTCCTGTGATGAATGGTGCGCTCTATTTCTACTTGAGCAAGATCTTCCAGCCCTAGTATCACTTCAGGGTAGTAAGGGTATCTCTTGTTCCAAATAGACATGATTCTAGGCCTATTGTTAAGGAGGCCAAAAACAGTGAAGTTTTTATTTGATTGAGAGCCAAATGCTGCTTTAAACATTCCGTTTACTAGTGGAAGGGGAACTTGGACTCTTTGTTTGCAGGGGAAGGCGTGTTGTCACGTCAATTCTGCATTTATTAATGCTTATGCACTTGTATTGCACCCTTGTTTTCCTTGCATAATTTGTTTGGTTGTGCTTCTGGATATAAACTGCATAATGGTGTCTCTCTTGTCCTTAATAATGGAATAAATTGGGCATTCTTCTCCATGATAAGGGGAAGTTTCAAATTTTATCTTGTTTGCATTTTGACTGTTAAAATCAGGTTAGCTATCCAGAAGCATGATCTTTTGCTGTCTGCCTGTAAACAACGTGTCAAAAAATTGCTATTTTTATAGAGGAAGAGACTGGAACACGCTGGATATACTGCATTGCATGATTATAGGGAGAGTTTGATATATGAAATTTGTCTGTTTATGTCAGCTTTTTCTTACTTTGTGACCTAAGAGCCTTCCTTTTTAGCTCTCTCATGTTACTGAATGGACTTCTGATGTTCAAATTCATGTAACCAGTTGAGCTGAAAAAGCAAAGCTATTGCGACCTCAAAGTTGTGAACAACACAGAACACCATGTTGCATTTAAGGTACACTTTGGTCGATGTGTAGGCTTGTGCACGTTCGTGCATAAGTATGTCCCTTTTGAGTTCTACATCTACCTTCCTAAATTAAATCAAACTTCTAAAGCCTCATTTAGATTTAAATTATTCATATTATGCTTTTTCTTGGTACAATGCAGCCTCAATTTGCTCTCAACTCTTTCCTTTTGCTAGGTTAAAACGACTTCACCTAAAAAGTACTTTGTACGACCAAACTCTTGTACATTACAACCTCACGATGCTTGTCTAATAAGAGGTACTGCTTATTATGTCAACCGACTATCTTTTCATGATGGCTTCTGTTCACTCTAATAGATCTGCTTTTTTGACAAATGCTTCTTTCAGCACTTTGCCTAATGATATTTCTTTGGAACTTCCTCACTGTTTTTAATTCTGTCGTGCCTTTTTATGTTGATGTGAAGTTACTCTCCAAGCCCAACAAGAATACCCGCCTGATATGCAATGCAAGGACAAATTTCTTCTTCAAAGCACCATAGTGCCTTCTAATACTGATGGCAAAGAACTTTCGCCTGATACTGTGAGAATTAATTTTCTGACAATTGACCTTATTAATTAAATCCGGAAACTATATAATGGCATTCTTTCTCTGTGTTGACTTTGATGTTTATGTCGTATCCAGTTCAATAAGGGTGGCGGAAGATTAGTAGAGGAATGCAGACTCGGAGTTGCTTATATTTTTCCCAGCTCACCTCAAGAAAAGTCTGAAGAGGAAGCCTTTCGGGGCTCGATGCAAAGTTTTGATGATGACGCGGTGAGCTCATTTTGCTTCTTGTGTAGTTAGACTTTAAAGGTTCTGTAGGATTTTGTTGAAAGTTTTGGTCAATTTGCTGGTCATGCTCTGAAAGCTTGCTACCTCCAAACCAAGATGAGCCTTGATCTAATAGAACATTGAAGTATGTACTCTCATGGTAAATTTGCGTAGACATATGTCTGAAGTGTAATTAGATGGTGAAATGAGATGCTGATAGACGTGTAGTATCACAATTTACGAGGAAAAAGTTACAGAAAATGTTATCTCCCGGTGGATGGTTCATCCCAGGAGAGTTTTTCTTTTCTAAATAAGAATTCAAAGGTATCAGATTGATCCAGTGAGAATTAGATATTCTGATAATTAACTAAAAGAAGAACGAGTGCTCTAATTTACAAGAAGAGAACATGGGATGAGCTTTGTATGCCGTCCTACTGCCAGCAGGCATGCATACCTGGCATTGCCTGCCCTAGTTCTTTGTCCCTCTATGGCTGTTGTGAAACTTGTTTTGCAGAGAAGCCAGTTATCTGATTTTCTCCTCTCTGTCAATTAACTACGTTCTGAGTAGGGACTTCTTTTGTTGTTCATTTTCTCCTCTTTGAAGGTGTTTCGTTTCATCTTTTGCCAAAAATCTGAGGCAGTAATGTAGCTACATCTTTGGGGAAACTTTTGAATGAAAGTTCTTTTTTCATTTGAACTGCGATGATAAGTGCTCTTTTTGGTGATCAACAATCGGCTTATCATTTCCCTCCCTTTTTAGAGTCTGGCTTTGCAGCGGATAAAGGACGAGAGAGATGCTGCTGTTCGGCAAACGCAATTGTTGCAGAAAGATCTTGTGAGTCCCTCTGTTATTGTGTAAGCTTTAGTCCACTAGCATATCAATTGGAGGGAAAAGGGGGAGAGAAAGAGGGGAAAAAATGGTAGTATAATACCCGCCAGCAGTAAAGCGAATGAAAGCAAATTTATTTAGTGCATTTTAATACTTAACATGGTAAGTAATGAAGTAAGTGCCAGAGACACTGCGAAGATGGGTTTTTTAGTCCTCCTTCGGGTGTCATTCTCTTTAGGAAGTGAAAAAAACTGCAGTTGAATATAGAAAAATCTGCTTTGGTGACTGAGTAAGGAGATTATTCGAGATCCTGTCGATCCTGATTTGATGAGGCTTTTAAACGACGAACAATGGGTCACTAAGATAATCGTCTTTCTTGATTAATTATAGTTTCGCTTCCCCGATCTTTGTAGGACATGATGAAAACACAGAGATACCGAAGAAGCGGCCGAGGCTTCTCCTTCATGTCCGCACTTGCCGTGGCTTTCGTCGGTGTGATGATTGGATTCGTGTTAGCCTTCCTCTACTCGTCCCCGTCTGCAGAATGAGTAGCTACCGGTCAAAGCTGCAACAGGCAGGTGGTTGGTTTAGTTCCTTGTAAAAAAAATTCAAGCCCGGTTAGAATGTTCGCTTTGTTTGCTTTATTCTTTCTGTAGATCTTCTCCCCCCGCGTCTGCAGAGTCTATTACATTGCAAATAGTCTCTTTTCAAATTTGCAGAAAACGCGAAGCTGGTATGGAAGTCCTCCTATGCTAGGCTTCAAACTAAACATGGAAGTCAGGATAATAATCACAGTGTATCCATAGAACATGATCTAGCCAGAGCTTATCTTGTTTTGTTCCCTAACTAGGAAGTGCTCTTTTCATGTGGTCTTACATTCGCAGAATTATTTAGAAAATCCCGTGTTTAAGAGTTCGACGCGCCGAGGATTGGACTTTAAACCTACGAAAGATGTTTGGAAAGGAGTCAAGTGCATGGGGCGATAGCTGCGCGATCTGGTCTATTAGTATCAGGGCCACGATGCTTGTTATTATTATCCAACTGCAGAGGTTCTCTTATCGTCCCGTAAACATCATTGTATGCGCAAGAAAAAAGTTACTGTCTCAGCAATTGTTTTTCACGGTAACTAACTACACATAGTAAGAAAATTATGGGAAAATTGTTCAAAAAGGCATAAAAATGTTGCAATTTTGTCAATTTAGTTTTAAACTTTTTAATTTTGTCAATTGAGTTTATCCAGGTAATTTTAACCGAAAATCGCTAACGTAAACACTGAAAGTGCCACGTAAGGCGATTGGCACTGATGTGGACTTATAATTTTTCTTCTTTTCCTCTTTTTTATCACGATTGGTGAGCTGACCACAGACGAGGGCCTTGCAGCCCTTGCCCAATAACTGGTGAGGATTGGCCGGCCCTTGCCTCTAATGATAAGGGTTGGCCAGCGGCCCTCGCTCTAGGGCTTGGAAGAAAGAAATAAAAATAATAAAAATAATTTATTCAAAACTCAAAAGATACTATTAAAAATTATCCACATCAGTATTGACCGATGGCTGTCGTCCGTGTCAATGATTTTTCGGCTAAAATTGGCTAGACGGACTCAATTGGCAAAATGTGAAAATGTTTATGAATGAATTGACAAATTGAAAGGTGTATAACGGAATTGGCAAAAGTGCAATAGGTTTATGACTTTTTGGATAATTTTCCCGAAAATTACTATCCCATTAGGAAACTAAATTCACTTTGGTTCATAGGTGATCTAGTCGGATCGGATCATGTTCGAAATTAGTCTTCAGTTGACTTTAAAGCCCTTGATCTGCTGGCTCTCGGTTTCCCAATTAAACCAGGACACTATCTATTCAATCAATTTCCGTTTTTATCTGGACTATGTATTAATAGTTACATCTCAGTTCCACTCGAAGGAGGAAAACCTTACACACACACATATATACATAGACCCAATCCTCATGATTTTGCATTATAAACTTCAAACCCTTCAAATTGCTTCGCTTCAACCAACGGCCGAAAAGAGCATCATCCTCAGACCACCAGTGCTTGCGATTTCTGCGTTACCAACTCTTCTGAAACATGACCACTTTGGCTTACACTTATTATGAATCCCGGATCACGGGCGCGCAGAGAATGCGTACGGCAAGCAACCTGGGTACTGGCGACAATCGTCGGATCATGTTCCACTTGAATTTCGTCCTTCAATACATCCACCGGCATGGCGGTCGGGCACTAGTCCCTCATGCGGCGCTGCCCGCACTGACCGCTCGGGTTTGGTCCAATGAGCTTCTCTGGAACAATGGCCAGGTTAGATTTTGGCAACGTTGCACATTTACAAAAACTTCGATGGAAATACCCGATTCTTCATTAGGAGCTTATATTAGTGTGGAATGCGCATTACGACTTGCTTTTAGTTTCTTCCTTGTCCTTGCTTTGGTTATTGTAATTCAAGCTTGTTTGGTGCACAAAATAATCTCGAAAGTCTATCCTAAACTTTTTGGGCATCCGATTAATCCTCTAAAACACATAAGCAGGCGTGCGTGCTTTCTACGAGGAAAGAATTTTTGCCTTCAAAATTTCTAGCGAATCGATTGATTATTAGAAGAATCTTAAATATCATATACGAATTGTAAACACGAAGCCGTATGATCCATCATGCACTAACTCCATCCCTTGTGATGCAATACACAGTTTATATCCATTATACTGTCTGCAATTGGAGTTCTGGTGGAGTATCAGCCACCGATCATCCGACACGTGTACAACCAGGCGGTTTGTATGACTGCGACCCCCGCCAGCGACGGCGCCAACCTTGCCCATATGGAAGTAACCATCTACGCCGTGACTCACGTGCTCTTGGAAGAAGAATTAATGCCGTCGCTCGAGGAAGAAACTTTGCTGGAGCCGGCGACGAAATCGTCCATCGAGGCTTTGGAGAGAATTAGGGTGAATGATGGCGATCCGATGTGCGTGTGCACCATCTGCATTGAGGAGCTCGCGGGCGGGACAGAAGCGACGAAGATGCCCTGCTCGCATGTTTATCACGTGGATTGCATCAGGCAGTGGCTGGAGACGAGCCATTCTTGCCCCTTGTGCCGGTACGCCATGCCGACGCAGCAGTTGATGGTCCGACGATGACCTCGATCAAGAAAATCGGATTTGATCTTGGATTATATTATTCCTTTCCACTTCTTGAATTCGAAGATATGCATGAGTTGCAATTCAAACCGAATTTATTTCCTTTAATTATCGTCCGCTGCCTATGAGCATAGTCAGCGTTACTTTTACTTGTTACATCCTAGATTTCTTTAACAAATAACACATAAATCGCCATGCTTAGGTTTAGAAACTCAAACTCTTCCTCGACTAAGTATATAAGCAGCATTCAGGGACATGGTGATGAGAATCCTCATCTCCCTGTTCCTCTCACTCAAAGGGTTTGGAACTCCGCCCGCGAATGCCCCGCACTTGCTTCCATGCGCCTGTGGTGTGCCTCTCAAACGCGCGACGAGGGCCGAATAGTTGTGCTCGCTGAGTGCTTTGAGCCCGTCCTGGAAGGGTTCCATGATTTCCAAGTACCCGCTGATGCAGTTCTGGATGTAGTCCAGAAGATCCTTGTCCGTGACTTGCCGCGTGAGCTGCCTCGCGAAAATCAGAGTGTTGGTGTCGTTCTCCAGGCCTTGTTCTAGGGCTATCTGAGCGAGGCCTTGCATGTCCGTTTCTCCGCCCGAGATATGCTGGTTGAAGGTCTTGTTGCAGAACCCGTAGTCCTCGGTCTGGCGGCAGATCTGGTCGATCAGCTGCTGCGTCTGCGGGCCGGCCAGGGCGTTCGAGAAGAGGAGGAAGGTGAAGAAGAGAGCGGCGATGGAATTTTCCATATTTCTTTGATTTCTCTTCCGTTCTCTTCTCTTGGTTATACGCCCTACGAGTTTGCGTGAATGGAGAGAAGCAAAATAGGGTTTATATGCGTAGATTGCCTTATGGGATTTTAGGAAGAAATTTATTATGTCCCCAAGATATTGTTTAGAAGAGAAGGATATGATTCCATAGTAGGATTTCCTCCCCTTTCCTTCCCTTCAAATCTTCCATGCACAATTATTTCCTTAAGAAACTTATAAAATGCATATATTCTGGCTATCTAGCAAGATAATTATAAAAGATTATATGGTTGATACCACGAAAAACACTAAACCGGTATGCATGTGATAAATTTATCATAAACTAATTTTTTTGACAACTAAAAACCCCAAACTGGTACAGTTGTTACTAATCTACCCTTCGTTAGTTTCCGTTAAATTTTACCGTCAAATTGTTGAGTTAGATGGCACGTGACAGTTGACGGGTGTACTAGTTTGGGGTCTTACCCTCTATTTATCACAAGTATATCAATTTATGATTTTGCGTGGTATTAATCCAATTTAATGGAAACTAACAAAGGGTAAATCTGTCACGATGTACAAGTCTGGGGTTTTCTATAGTCAAAAAATTAGTTTATGGTAAATTTGTCAAAGGTATATTGATTTGAATTTTTTCGTGATATTATCTCAATATTATATGATTAGCGTTCCTAAACTGGGACCAAGGACTAAAGGGCGACTCTGCCATAATTATTATACATAAAAAACTCACGCATAACACAGATCCTCTATATCTTTTAAGGTGTCTCAATGGATTTAAAAGCATGGGATGCGATTGACTCTTTTAAATTTAATCTGTCGGGGACATTTTGGTAATCGACTTCTAACCTCATTAGTTGATCAGTAAAAATATAGAAAATAAGTCATAAGTCGAAGTATTTTCACACGAGTATAATACACCACGCGTACGGCTTGTTTTAGTCTAGGACGTGTATTTTTTTGTAAGTTAATACGTACGTGCATTTATGTGAAAGTATGTGTATTTTAGTAGCAGGGGTAAGATTTCAAATCTCAAAATATTTTTCTCTATCCTTACATATTTATTTATATTGTTCGCATTGTGCATTTTAATCAATAATTTCTTTTAATTATTTAATAATTCAAGTATTTCATAATAAAGTCCTAATGCTTAATCTTTCAAACATCAGTTTTTTGGTGCAAATACACATTTGTTAGCCAATACATTCTACTTTTAATAATGATATGTTGTTGCTATATCTTGAGTAGTAAAAATCACGGGATAATTATCCAAGAAGTCATAAATCTATTGTACTGCGACCAATTTAGTCCTAAACCTTTTGGCTTGCCAATGTAGTCCTTCTAATGAAATATGGCTGGAAATCGGTGACATGAACGTTGGTTGTGCCACGTAGGACAACTGGTGCTAACACAACCTATTTTTGTAATTTTTTGAATAAAAATTGAACTTTTTATATTTTTTCCTTTCTTCTTTCTTTTTTCCCTATTTCCCTCCGCCGATCATCCACATTAGGGATGGGTAGTTCCATATTTCGCATAGGTTCCACTAGGAACTTGGAACCTACCCGTTGGAACAGGTTTCTCATTTTCTGGAACTTGAAACCTACCTTGCATACGTTGGAACATGGAACCTACCCTATCACAAGTTTCAGGGTCTATCTAAGTTTCACATGTATTATTAATTGAACGATTGAAGTGAATCATCACTTTTAATGACCATCACTTACTACTACAATCCACTGAGCACAACTTATATTTAGACACACGAAGATTTTGAAATATTAACAAAGTAATGGTTTCAGTCATAAAATAAAAACTCAGACTATTGGTGCCAGATTATACACTTATTATCGGACGCCATGGAATATCATAGGATCACACGAAGACATAGATTAAGAAAAATACAAAAACTTGTCATAGGTTCTTGGTAGCCAAGAACCTAAAACCTAGCCGTTGAAACGGGTTATCCAATTTTTAGAACTTGGAACCTAGAACCTACCGTGCTTACCTTGGAACCTGGAACCGTACATGTTTCCACTAGTCTGGTTCTTCGATTCTAGTTTTTACCCTAAGACCATGCTCACCCCTAGTCCACATCATAAATGGCCTAACACGGACTTTCGACCAAAATTGGTAAATTGTCAAAAAGTATATAACTAAAATTTTCAAATTAAAAAGTTTATGACTAAATTAACCACTTTATAATAAGTTTATAATTTTTTGAACAATTTTTCCCAAAAATCACACTACGTGTACATATTCATTATCTAGCTTGTGTATTATAAAGGGTTAATACCGCGAAAAACCCCAAACTGGTACGCATGTGACAATTTTACCCCAAACTAATTTTTTGACCATCAAAAACCTCAAAATGATACACCTGTGACAAATTTACTCTTAATTTATTTCCGTTAAATTTTACTGTCAAATTATTTTGTTAAATGACACGCGGCAATTAACGGATATACCAATTTTATGTTTCACCCTTCGTTTTTCACAGGCGTACCAGTTTATGATTTTTTGTGGTATTAATTCAATTTAATGGAAACTAATGGAGAGTAAATTTATCACAAATGTATAAGTTCAGTGTTTTTGGCGGTAAAAAAATTACGGGTAAATTTATCACAGGTATACCGATTTAAATTTTTCGTGATCAAAAAATTAGTTTAGAGTAAAATTATAGTATATCAGTTTGATATTTTTCGTGGTATTAATCATTGATTTTACACCATGACAATAGAACTGAAGTTGTTCGTATCAAGTCAACTTGTATGGAGTGAATTTGTCGTATTGTCAATTCTCAGCTGGAATAGCCAATCAATCTCTCTCTCTCTCTCTCTCTCTCTCTCTCTCTCTCTCTCTCTCTCTCTCTCTCTCTCTCTCTCTCTCTCTTTTCCGAAAGCGAAAAGAACTGCAACACGTTAACTGCGAAAGCAGGCCATCCTTGAGGAACTTCACCACCTCATTTGCATGCATGCAAATTAAAAGTTACTAATTTCATTTCCTTAAGTCCCAGTTACGGCGCGATTTGATAGCCAGCCTTATTTGAACAACACCAAACTTCATAAGAAGCAAAAAGAACAACGAAAAAGAAAAGAACTGAAAAGGAAGCACTCAATCGCTCGAAAACACTATTTTTCTTCAATGAAGCAGACTGTATGCAGTCGTAGCAGTCATGATGACAAGAATCCTCTCCTCTCTGTTATTCTCGTAAAGAGGATTTCTGATCCCATGGCTGTTGCTGTACTGCCCGCACTCAGTCGCTAGCACCTTCGCCGAGTTCAGGAAGTCGGTCAACACGGCGTTGTAGTTGTTGTCCCCAAAGACCCTGTCCGCGTTCTCTATCATATCCAAAATCTTCAGGTACCCATTGATGCAGAGCTTGAGATAATCCACCAGTTCTTGGTTGGTCGCAGCACGCATGGTTTGCTTGGCGAAAACCACCGTGGTGGATGTGTTGCTCAGGCTCTGCGCGATGGCTATCTGAGCCAGGCCGTGCATGTCGGCCTCCGGGGTGAATATGTGTTCGGAGAAGCATTTGTTGCAGAACCCGTAGTCCTCCATCTTGCGGCAAATGGTGTCGATCAGCTCCTGCGTCTTGGGTCTGAACGCTGATACGCATGCGATCGAGACGATGACGAACAGAAGAAAAATGTGTTGTTTGTGAGGAATTCGAGCCATCTTTAGGGTTCTCATTTCTCTCCTTCTTTTGTTGGCTACGTAGGTTGCAGGATTCATGCATGAGGGGGAGAACTGGGCATTTATGGTGGAGTGTGTACTTGATAATTAGGAAGGCAATACAATGTAGCTCCGGATTTGGCTAAGGTATGATATCTTAAGGTCATAATTAAACACAAATCAAATATGGAAAAGAATTAACATCTTTTTCTTCTTATTGTTAGGATCTTCTTCCTTTGTTACAAACTTGTGCATTTATGGTAAACTACGGAGTTAATACCACCAAAAACTCCAAATTAGTACATCTGTGATAAATTTATCAAAAATTAATTTTTTTTATCACGAAAAACCTTAAACTGATACTCCTGTGACAAATTTACCCTCCATTAGTTTCCGTTAAATTTTAATATCAAATTGCCGAGTTATATAACTCTTAGCAGTTGTCAGGTGTACTAGTTTGGGGTTTTACCATCTATTTGTCACATGTGTACCAGTTTATGATTTTTCATGGTATTGATCCAGTTTAACGGAAACTAATAGAGGGTTAATTTATCACAAATGCATCAATTTGAGGTTTTTAGTGATCAAAAAATTAGTGTGGAATAAAGATGTCACGGGTGCACCAGTTTGGGGTTTTTGGTGGTCAAAATATTTGTTTGGGATAAATTTATCACAGGTATATCAGTTTAGGGTTTTTCGTGATATTAACCCTAAAATATAACACTACTTGGATTTTTTTTCCTAAATAAGTCGATATGACAATACAAGATAACTGCAAAGTGCCATCCTTATAGATATTTCAAATGGGTGGGTCGGGTTAAGTCATAAATGGTTCATAGATCGAATTGCCAAATTAGAAAAATTGGGTGCTATCATAGAGCTTTGTATCAGCTAAGTTCACGAGTTGGAGATAAGCGGACTCGAACATCGAACCCATATGAAGTTTCACCATGAGCAGATTGTATCCATTGGGCAAATATAGGTTCGATTAAGATTTGTTTCTCCGGAGTACCAAAAGCAAGCATGACATCATTAACCCAATTGATCCATTAAGCCGTTTATGACCCATTTATTCTCAATGCAAATTTCTCGACTTATATCCGATTTGACTCATATTACTAAAACAATTTCATATTTAACCCAATCAAAAAAAAATTACTTCTTATGATTTTTTTTAAAATTATATTGCTAAAAGACTTCCATGCAATACGATTATAGTAGACAATTTTTATAATTTTTTATTTTCTTTCTTTCTTCTACGTCGGGTGAGGGCCACGATGGCCAGCAATCCTCACGGATTTTGTAAGAAAAAAAGGAAATTTTTTTTTTAAAAATCAGAAAATTTAAAACATTAAAAAATAAAAAAATTTAAAAATCAACTATTTATAATTCACTTAAGCTTTTTAGGTAATCCATTTATGACCCATTTAAAATCTATTTATGACCCACTTAAGCTTTTTTTAAAATTTAAGGCAACAAATTTATGACCCACATGATTAAATATGAGTTAACATATGGATTTTAGACCCATTTTGCCACCTCTACTTCCTATCAATCATGCAAGATCGATGTGATTTCTCTTTCCATAACTTATCCCAAAATAACTACTAAGGAAAAGAGTTCAAAAATCTTACTAGCAACCTAGTTGCTTCAAATATATTAATGCGGGTGTTGTGATAACACATCTACACGATATGTCGAATCACAGCTTTGCATTTTACAAACATGATTTTGGACCAGCCCAAAAAATCAATGTGGGTGGACTCAAAAAAGTTTAATTATAGAGCTCGATCAGAAGGAAACTCGAGTCAAATGCACCCAATCCAAAATATATCTTGTTAATTGGAGTTAGGCTAAATATTTTCCGCAAGTCAAAAAAACACTTTCAAAAGTGAGAAAGAGGAAATCATTTTCCTGTCTTTTTCTTTCAACCAGATCAAGCATGTTCTCTTCCGTGCAATCATTTTAATTATTATTTTTTATTTTTCCTTCTTTTTCGGCCAGTCATCGGTCACGTCGAAAGCCAACGACCGGCCACAGGCGAACTCAAGCCTTGCCACAGGCCGGCAAGCTCAAAGCTCGTCGACTTGGCGAGGCTCGAGCTCGCCTATGGCCAGTCACTGGCCGTCGCAATGTCCAGCTATTGGCCGAAAAAAAAGGAAGACGAAAAAGAAAATTAAAAATTTGAATTAAAAAGAGAAAAGAAAAAAATGAAAAAATTATTAAAGTAGTACACGGAGGAAAATCAGATCAAATTTTTCATACCAAACGATGAAAAACAATTTCAATTTCATTTTGAGGTTTTTCAAACACTGAAAAATATTATTATTTTTCTCAACATTGATTTTCTGAATACCATATTCTTCCGACACGTGGTCCGATTTGTAACATGCAACGAAACAAAGAAGAAATGACGTGGCGACTTTTCACTGGTCAAGTTGACGTGACATTTCCACGTAATCAAGAGTTATCGACCCCGATATTTCCTGGTTCTTTTTTTGGTCGGAATATTTCCCGGGTTTACTTAGCAAGAAAGCGATGCGAAAGCGACGCGAAGGAGGCAAGTCGTTTCATTCGATAGTTCCTGTCAACCTAAACAATAAAGTCATCGCCGGTTTTTGTCGAGTTCTCGTTACCACGAAATTTCCAGGTTTCTGCAGCTCCCTATTTCCCTTTATGCCCCTGATTATCTGGAGCTTTCCATTCGGTCATTCATGACCCGTATTGGCAAATCGGGTTCAACTAGTTGGGTCAACTACACCGACTGGACGGTTGCCATTCCCCACCCCCAAAAAAAAAAAAATTCAGTGCACTTAAATTGGAACATATTAACCCTAAAGTATCCCAATAATTTTATGAAATTGTCGAGTTTCTCGATGTTTGGTATCTCGATTTAATCATCACGAAATCATCATCTATTTATTTCTTCGTTATTGACACCGTGTGCACCATGAAAGTTTTTTCCATAACATGTTTGCAGTCTAAAAAAGATGAATTTATTTGGCTAAGTGAGGCAGGTACACAAATTACTTTTTTTTTTTTCATTTTATGATAAGTCTCTTCAAGAAGCGAATAGTCGGGTTTTCCTTTTCTCTTTCTCAATCTCGTTATTGTACCGAGTCTTATTAAATTTTCACTATATCAATTGTTTATTTTCTACACTAACTATTCTATCATATAAAACAAAAGACCACCTCCTACTTTTATATAATATTGATAGATATTTCGTTTATTTTACGAATATTGTATTCATAAAAAGTGCCTACATTTGTAATTTTATGTATTTAAGTTTGCAAAGACTAATAACATTTAACGTGAACCATATTTTGCAAAGAGTATCCATTGAAAATGTTAATCTAAAAATCAATGTAAAGAACTCGGGCCCATTTAAACGTGAACTGTCCTAATGTACCGTGATGAACTTTTCTTACACTCTTTTTTACGTATTTAATTTTGCAAAGACTAATCACATTGCTTTTTTTTATGCGGTTGAAGATTACGGACTAAGCTTCTCTTTTATTTTAACATGGAAGTCAGGATAATAATCACAGTGTATCCATAGAACATGATCTAGCCAGAACTTATCTTGTTTTGTTCCCCAACTAGGAAGTGCACTTTTCATGTGGTCTTACATTCGCAGAATTATTTAGAAAATCCCGCGTTTAAGAGTTCGACGTGCCGAGGATTGGACTTTAAACCTACGAAAGATGTTTGGAAAGGAGTCAAGTGCATGGGGCGATAGCTGCGCGATCTGGTCTATTAGTATCAGGGCCACGATGCTTGTTATTATTATATATCCAACTGCAGAGGTTCTCTTATCGTCCCGTAAACATCATTGTATGCACAAGAAAAAAGCTACTATCTCAGCAATTGCTTTTCACAGTAACTAACAGCACATAGTAAGAAAATTATGGGAAAATTGTTCAAAAAGGCATAAAAATGTTGCAATTTCGTCAATTTAGTTTTAAACTTTTTAATTTTGTCAATTAAATCTTTTCACGTTTTGTCAATTGAGTTCATCTAGCTAATTTTAACCGAAAATCGCTAACGCAAACGCCGGAAGTGCCATGTAAGGTGGTTGGCACTCACGTGGACTTATAATTTTTCTTCTTTTCCTCTTTTTTATCACGATTAGTGAGCTGACCACAGACGAGGGCCTCACGACCCTTGCCCAATAACTGGTGAGGATTGGCCGGCCCTTGCCTCTAACGATAAGGGTTGGCCAGCGGCCCTCGCTAGGGCTTGGAAGAAAGAAATAAAAAAAAATAAAGAATAATAAAATTTATTCAAATTTCAAAAGATACTATTAAAAATTGTCCACGTCAGTATTGACCGATGGCTGTCGTCCGTGTCAATGATTTTTCGGCTAAAATTGGCTAGACGGACTCAATTGGCAAATGGTGAAAATGTTTATGACTGAATTGACAAATTGAAAGGTGTATAACGGAATTGGCAAAAGTGCAATAGGTTTATGACTTTTTGGATAATTTTCCCGAAAATTACAATCCCATTAGGAAACTAAATTCACTTTGGTTCATAGGTGATCTAGTCGGATCCGATCATGTTCGAAATTAGTCTTCAGTTGACTTTAAAGCCCTTGATCAGCTGGTTCTCGGTTTCCCAATTAAACCAGGACACTATCTATTCAATCAATTTCCGTTTTTATCTGGACTATGTATTAATAGTTACATCTCAGTTCTACTCGAAGCAGGAACACCTTACACACACACACAAATATGTATAGACCCAATCCTCATGATTTTGCATTATAGACTTCAAACCCTTCAAATTGCTTCGCTTCAACCGACGGCCGAAAAGACCATCGTCATCCTCAGACCACCAGCGCTTGCGATTTCTGCGTTGCCAACTCTTCTGAAACATGACCACTTTGGCTTACACTTATTATGAATCCCGGATCACGGGCGCACAGAGAATGCGTACGGCAAGCGACCTAGGTACCGGCGACCATCGTCGGATCATGTTCCACTTGAATTTCGTCCTTCAATACATCCACCGGCATGGCGGTCGGGCACTAGTCCCTCATGCGGCGCTGCCCGCACTGACCGCTCAGGTTTGGTCCAATCAGCTTCTATGGAACAATTGCCAGGTTAGATTTTGGCAACGTTGCACATTTACACAAACTTCGAAGGAAATACCCGATTCTTCATTAGGAGCTTATATTAGTGTGGAATGCGCATTACGACTTGCTTTTAGTTTCTTCCTTGTCCTTGCTTTGGTTATTGTAATTCAAGCTTGTTTGGTGCACAAAATAATCTCGAAAGTCTATCCTAAACTTTTTGGGCATCCGATTAATCCTCTAAAACACGTAAGCAGGCGTGCGTGCTTTCTACGAGGAAAGAATTTTTGCCTTCAAAATTTCTAGCGAATCGATTGATTATTAGAAGAATCTTAAATATCATATACGAATTGTAAACACGAAGCCGTACGATCCATCGTGCACTAACTCCATCCCTTGTGATGCAATACACAGTTTATATCCATTATACTGTCTGAAATTGGAGTTCTGGTGGAGTATCAGCCGCCGATCATCCGACACGTGTACAACCAGGCGGTTTGTATGACCTCGACCCCCGCCAGCGACGGCGCCAACCTTGCCCATATGGAAGTAACCATCTACGCCGTGACTCACGTGCTCTTGGAAGAAGAATTAATGCCGTCGCTCGAGGAAGAACCTTTGCTGGAGCCGGCGACGAAATCGTCCATCGAGGCTTTGGAGAGAATTAGGGTGAATGATGGCGATCCGACGTGCGTGTGCACCATCTGCATGGAGGAGCTCGCGGGCGGGACGGAAGCGACGAAGATGCCCTGCTCGCATGTTTATCACGTGGATTGCATCAGGCAGTGGCTGGAGACGAGCCATTCTTGCCCCTTGTGCCGGTACGCCATGCCGACGCAGCAGTTGATGGTCCGACGATGACCTCGATCAAGAAAATCGGATTTGATCTTGGATTATATTATTGCTTTCCTCTTCTTGAATTCGAAGATATGCATGAGTTGCAATTCAAACCGAATTTATTTCCTTTAATTATCGTCCGCTGCCTATGAGCATGGTCAGCGTTACTTTTACTTGTTACATCCTAGATTTCTTTAACAAATAACACATAAATCGCCATGCTTAGGTTTAGAAACTCGAACTCTTCCTCGACTAAGTGCATAAGCAGCATTCAGGGACATGGTGATGAGAATCCTCATCTCCCTGTTCCTCTCACTCAAAGGGTTTGGAACTCCGCCCGCGAATGCCCCGCACTTGCTTCCATGCGCCTGTGGTGTGCCTCTCAAATGCGCGACAAGGGCCGAATAGTTGTGCTCGCTGAGTGCTTTGAGCCCGTCCTGGAAGGGTTCCAAGATTTCCAAGTACCCGCTGATGCAGTTCAGGATGTAGTCCAGAAGATCCTTATCGGTGACTTGCCGCGTGAGCCGCCTCGCGAAGATCAGAGTGTCAGTGTCGTTCTCCAGGCCTTGCTCTAGGGCTATCTGAGCCAGGCCTTGCATGTCCGTTTCTCCGCCCGAGATATGCTGGTGGAAGGTCTTGTTGCAGAACCCGTAGTCCTCGGTCTGGCGGCAGATCCGGTCGATCAGCTGTTGCGTCTGCGGGCCGGCCAGGGCGTTCGAGAAGAGGAGGAAGGTGAAGAAGAGAGCGGCGATGGAATTTTCCATATTTCTTTGATTTCTCTTCCGTTCTCTTCTCTTGGTTGTACGCCCTACGAGTTTGCAAGAATGGAGAGAAGCAAAATAGGGTTTATATGCGTAGACTGCCTCATGGGATTTTAGGGAAAAAATTTATTATCTCCCCAAGATACTGTTTAGAAGGAGAAAATATTCAGTCGTTTGTGCACGCCACGTCACGTGCCTACGTGACATGCACAAACGCACGTGGACCACTGATAGACATGTGGCTCTGACTTGAAATTAAAAAAAAAGTTATATTTTGAGTCTCTCCCCTGGTGCCCTAGGAAGACTAACTCTGCCACTAGAGGTGGCGTGAGCAAAAAGTAAAGCAATTAATGCGTACATTAATTGCTGTGTTCTCTCTCTCCCCCTCTACCTCTTTCTTCTCTTTCACTCTTCTCCTTCCCTTCCGTCTTCTGTGAAAAAGAAGAAGCCCGCTTCCTTTTTTTTTCAAAATACTCTCCCCATCTCTCTCTCCCTCCCAAGAGCCCCGCAGTTGCATCTTGAGCCTAGACCCGACGCCTCTGGCACGTCGCCTCCAGAGCCACTCCCTCTCCGTCGCTCCCAAGAGCCCTCGTCGATCGCATCGCATGCTCAGATCCGACGGCGAAGCCCAAACCCGGCGCCTCCGCATCCGCCGTCGCCTCCAGGAACCACTCCCCCCCCCCCCCCTCTCTCTCTCGCTCCCAAGAGCCCCCGCCGGTCGTCGTTGCCGTGTCTCGAGCTTATATCCGCCTCCGGCACGTCGCCTCTGCCTCCGCCCTCCTTTTGCATTATTCTCTTAGATTTCCCGAGCAGAGGGTTCGAGATTTGGAAAGTCCCATCGGATTTAGTACTTCTTGAACGGCGGCGGTGGTGATGAGGATGAGAGGGTTGAGCCGTTGAGGTTGGTGCATTTGCCTCTGGGTTGTTTGCGAGGGTGGTGGTTGCAGGTTTCCTTCCACTGTTGATGAGTTTCTTCGTAACGATCAGGCCAAAAAAGATGATATTTGAGCCATTTTACAAGATTGTGTAGTTGTTTTGAGGTTGATCCTCGTGATTATTTTAGTTTTTTGGGAGGAATTCTCAGCTTCTTTGTATGGTTTATGTCGTGTTCTTGTTCGTCGGAATGTGATACTCTCAAGAGTGAGTTTAAGTTTAATGCAACAAGAAGATATATTTGCGCAGTTCTTGTTTCTGGGCTTTTTTCTTTGATCAAGGTTTGTTCTACTTGTCATTGCCATTTTATTTTCAAGTTCGAACTTTAATTTTTGTTAAATATGTCTTGAATTTTATGTAATCGGTCCAGTTTATCACCCGACCCGACATATTTTTGTGTGACCCGAAAGTGGAGAAAAAATTGAGATTTAAAGAGGGTTGGGCTGATAGGCTAGGTTTTCTCATTGATGTACAAAGAGAATTTTGTTTTCAGACAGTTTTGTGAGCCGTGAACTTTTGTCATTTTTTTCTACTTCTAAAAACTGTACTCTCTTTGATTACATTGGAATCTTGTTTTGCCTCGCCCGTGGACGTAGATCACCTTGTGATTGATCCACATAAATCTCGGTGTTCTTAATTTGTTTTTCCGCATCTATTTTACAACAATTTTGATGAAGGAAGCTCGGGACAAGCAACGATTCTTTGATGTTATAACCATATCCAATGCAAGTAACTAGACTGTCAAAGTTATTCCAGACACTGAAGGGCAATCGCGTCGCTGTTGCAAGGATGAAGTCCATTTATCCGTGATGATCGCTGAAATGAAAACTTGACTTTGGACTCCATTCATTGTTGTGCAGGAATAAACACGTCTTTTTAGCTAATGAAGCAAAGCAAAACAAACGCAATTATAACAGTGATAATGCTTGATTAAAAAACAAACAATGTATAGCCTACCTAAACTGAAGGAGAACTTCTCGACCGAAAAAAACCGAAGGAAAACTTAGACAAAAAAAAGAAAAAAATAAAGAGAACCGGTTACACACCGGCACACCCAACATATAGGTAGGTTACAAACACCACCCTCATAAACCCGAGTAGAACAAACGATACATTATTTTCTTCCAAAACGAGACAAAAATGCAAATACAAATGAAAGTTCCCAAGTCCATGCATTTCCATTTCACTTGGACTTCGTCTCATCTTCCGCCGGGGAGAGAATGAATACACAAGAAGGAGAACGCTCAGCTCAGTTATGTGCAAAACCCAAAATGCCACGGCGGAGACGGTGTTCGGGATGCGACCGGCGGGGGCTCTTGGGAGCGAGAGAGGGAGAGGGGGGGGGGGGGGGGGGGGGGAGTGGTTCCTGGAGGCGACGGCGGATGCGGAGGCGCCGGGTTTGGGCTTCACCGTCGGATCTGAGCATGGGATGCGATCGACGAGGGCTCTTGGGAGCAACGGAGAGGAAGTGGCTCTGGAGGCGACGTACCAGAGGCGCCGGGTCTGGGCTCGAGATGCAACCGCGGGGCTCTTGGGAGGGAGAGAGAGATGGGGAGAGTATTTTGAAAAAAAAGGAAGCGGGCTTCTTCTTTTTCACGGAAGATGGAAGGGAAGGAGAAGAGTGAAAGAGAAGAGAGAGGGAGAGGGGGAGAGAGAGAACACAGCAATTAATGCATGCATTAATTGCTTTACTTTTTGCTCACGGCCCCCCCCTAGTGGCAGAGTTAGTCTTCTTAGGGCACCAGTGAAGAGACTCAAAATATAACTTTTTTTTTAATTCCAAGTCAGAGCCACGTGTCCCTTTATCAATGGTTCACGTGCGTTTGTGCACGCCACGTAGGCACGTGACGTGGCGTGCACAAACCACCGAATATTTTCTCGTTTAGAAGTGAAGGATATGATTCCATAGTAGGATTTCCTTCCTTTTACTTCCCTTCAAATCTTCCATGCACAATTATTTCCTTAAGAAACTTATAAAATGCATTTATTCTTGCTATCCAGCAAGATAATTATAAAAGATTATAGGGTTAACACTACCAAAAATCCTAAATCGGTAATGATATGACAAATTTATCCTAAACTAATTTTTTTAACAACCAAAAACCTCAAACTGGTACACTTGTAACAAATCTATCCTTCGTTAGTGTTCGTTAAATTTCACCGTCAAATTGTTGAATTGCATGGCACATGACAGTTGACGGATGTACCAGTTTAAGGTCTTATCCTCTATTTGTCATAAGTATATCAATTTGTAATTTTTCGTGGTATTAATCCAATTTAATGTAAACTAACGAAGGGTAAATCTGTCACAATGTACCAGTTTGGGGTTTTCTTTTGTAAAAAAATTAGTTTACGGTAAATTTGTCATAGGTATATTGGTTTAGAGTTTTTCGTGATATTATCTCAATATTATATGATTAGCTTTCCTAAACTGGGACCAAGGACTAGAGGGCAACTCTGCCATAATTTGTATACATAAGAAACTCACGCATAACACAGATCCTCTATATCTTTTAAGGTGTCTCAATGGATTTAAAAGCATGGGATGCGATTGACTCTTTTAAATTTAATCTGTCGGGGACATTTTGGTAATCGACTTCTAACCTCATTAGTTGATCAGTAAAAATATAGAAAATCAGTCATAAGTCGAAGTATTTTCACACGAGTATAATACACCACGCGTACGGTGTGTTTTAGTCTAGGACGTGTATTTTTTTGTAAGTTAATACGTACGTGCATTTATGTGAAAGTATGTGTATTTTAGTAGTAGGGGTAAGATTTCAAATCTCAAAATATTTTTCTCTAACCTTACATATTTATTTATATTGTTCGCATTGTGCATTTTAATCAATAATTTATTTTAATTATTTAATAATTCAAGTGTTTCATAATAAAGTCTTAATGCTTAATCTTTCAAATTAACATCAGTTTTTTGGTTCAAATACACATTTGTTAGCCAATACATTCTACTTTTAATAATGATATGTTGTTGCTATATCTTGAGTAGTAAAAATCACGGGATAATTATCCAAGAAGTCATAAATCTATTGTACTGCGACCAATTTAGTCCTAAACCTTTTGACTTGCCAATGTAATCCTTCCAATGAAATATGGCTGGAAATCGGTGACATGAACGTTGGTTGTGCCACGTAGGACAATTGGTGCTAACACAACCTATTTTTGTAATTTTTTGAATAAAAATTGAACTTTTTATATTTTTTCCTTTCTTCTTTCTTTTTTCCCTATTTCCCTCCGCCGATCATCCACATTAGGGATGGGTAGTTCCATATTTCGCATAGGTTCCACTCGAAACCTGGAACCTACCCGTTGGAACAGGTTTCTCATTTTCTGGAACTTGAAACCTACCCTGTATACGTTGGAACATGGAACCTACCCTATCACAAGTTTCAGGGTCTATCTAAGTTTCACCTGTATTATTAAATGAACGTTTGAAGCGAATCATCACTTTTAATGACCATCACTTACTACTACAATCCACTTAGTACAACTTATATTTAGACATACGAAGATTTTGAAATATTAACAAAGTAATGGTCTCAGTCATAAAATAAAAACTCAGACTATTGGTGCCAGATTATACACTTATTATCGGACGCCATGGAATACCACAGGATCACGCGAAGACATAGATTAAGAAAAATACAAAAACTTGTTATAGGTTCTTGGTTCCACCTACCAAGAACCTAAAACCTAGCCGTTGAAACGGGTTCTCCAATTTTTAGAACTTGAAACCTAGAACCTATCGTGTTTACCTTGGAACCTGGAACCGTACATGTTTCCACTAGTCCGGTTCTTCGATTCTAGTTTTTACCCTAAAACCATGCTCACCCCTAGTCCACATCATAAATGTCCTAACACGGACTTTCGACCAAAATTGGTAAATTGTCAAAAAGTATATAACTAAATTTTTCAAATTACAAAGTTTATGACTAAATTAACCACTTTGTAATAAGTTTATAATTTTTTGAACAATTTTTCACAAAAATCACACTGCGTGTACATATTCATTATCTAGCTTGTGTATTATAAAGGGTTAATATCACGAAAAA